ACAAACTGGGGACTCAAGAGGTGCTCAAGAAGACATTCATTTTGGTAATTACTTCATTTGTGGATGGGGAAAAAAACCGAAGACAGACAACAGCGAAATGGCGTGACCAGGGCTGAACTCTGCAGGATGCAGTCTCAGAGCTGCTGCCGATACGGCATGCCCTATGCTGCCTTCCTCTTGCCCTGCGCTTGGCCTTGGTGTGCCTGCCTTGGCCAGGGTCAGGAATCTGCCCTTAGAGTCCCCTGAATCTGATGCCTGCTGTCGTCAAGAGGACTGCATAAAACCCTGCCCACACTCTGCTCTGAGACTTGGGGCCTTTGATTATTTCCTGAGCATCTTCTATATGCAAGGACACTGTACCAAGGCACTATTTATTTATTCATTATGTACTCAGTACAGGGTCTAAAAGATCTTATTACACAGATCAGGTTCATAGTGATCCTTCGGTTTTCAGCCTCCCGAGCACTGGGATTACAGGCGCGCACCGCCACGCCCAGTCTCAGTCAACCTCTCAGCACACCCCAGGGGTAAGGCCGGCACAGCGCATCGCGGATCGAACCCTGGCTCGTGCATCTGCCTAAGCAGGCACTTTAGTCTGCTGAACTATCGGCCAGCCCTTTGCAAGGCACTATTCTTTAAACTTCCCACAGCACCTACTGCAGATGCCAAGATGGCTAAAAAATACAAAGCTCCACACTAGTAAGAATGACAGCCAAGACTTACAGCCAGGGCGGATGGGGCTTCTACGGCATGCCCCTTCCCAGACAGGAGACTGAGCAGTCAGCTGCGTGTGGCGGCAGAAGGTGATGGGGACCCGTTCCCGGTTCCTCGCCTTCCACTTCCACAAGGCAGTTCCTCCAGAAGTTGGTTTAACTGCATTATCCCTGATGTGTGCATTGCAAAAAAACCCTTCAAATTATGTTACATCTTCTGCATGTTACTGGAGAAACAACTTGGGGAACCAAACACTACAACAAGGCCCATTTCCTTCTTGCTATTGCTATCACCAGTTGAGACTCTAGAGAATTCCCCAGATAAGCACCACATCTAGATGGAAGGCAGGAGAAGAAAGACCTAGAAGCCCTGGGTCAGCTCTGACAGTCTCTTACCTAGATGCCTGCAGATAATGGTACATTGCCATATAATTTCAAATAAGAAATCATATACAAATTATGCTATACTAACCAACATACAGTACAAGAAATGAGCAACTGCGCATTCGAGAGCGACATTGCTATTTCTGCCTCTGTTACCTGGATAATTATGCTTTAAGTACATGCTGAGCCTGCAGCACCGTGCTTACTAGGCAGCCATGTGATCACTATCTCAGATGAAAACAAGAAGCGCCTAGGAGCGAACACATCCGAGCACTCCATGAGTAGGCTTGATAATATAAGCAAAGTGTTGAGGACCACACCTTTCCAAAAATAACCCATTTCTTCAGCGCTTTCTCCCTGTTGACAGCAGGCAGCACTCAAGTGTGATCTGACAGATGTCTATCCACATTACACCAACGGATTAAAGCACATGACCAGCAATGACCCTAACTCTCACCCAGGCTAACCCTTTACATCCGGGGTTAGGCTGTCTGGTTCAGCTAAAGCGCACACTGGCCAAATCCCATTAGGGTAAACGACACAGGATACGCAAGCAGTGGAATTCTATTAGACGGTTAGAAATCACATTATACCTAGCTCCAGCGGATATAGACACCCAGGCTTTCTAACAGCATATTCTCAACAAGAAGAATTCTTTGGCACGTCCTCAAAGAAGGGGCTGTAGCCATACCATCTCATCCCTCCCCTTTCTCTGAACTCTCTGGAATTTGCATGTGTTGTACAGTTTGGACCATTCCTGTGAATATATTTTTCTCCATTGAGAAGACAGGAGTATTGGAGACGGGTGCTTGATGGCAAAAGAATGGCCCGGTGACCCTTCAGCTGTGCCTCCTTTCAACCCTCTCACAAAACTCAGGTATCTGCACTCAAGAAGGGACTGCAGCAAGGATCTATGGATGCCCACATCTGTAACTATAATTGGACAGCTGTGAAAATCACATTTCACTGAGACCCTTCTCACACAGTATGGGAGACTAAGGTGGTTTTTATTTTCTAGATCCTCTCTTCCTTCTCTCAGGCCTTCCAGGGCCGATACCACCTCTGGGCCAGCAGCCCTCGGAATCCTGGCAAAGGACTGCAGACAGATGGGCTGCACACAAGCGGAAAACAACAAGACCAGCTTCGAGGAAGGGACTACTGAAAGTCTACCCACCACCCCCAGAAAAGATCTCAAGTCAGGAACAGCAAGGAAAAAGAACGGAAACTGTCTCCTCTGCTTCAGAGCGGCACTTGCTAGCAATGCACAGATTCGGGAGTGTGTCAGCATTTCTAAAGTAAACTCGATTTTCTTTAGATGAAGGAGATTTTTTAAAAGACTCAGAATTTAACCCAATGAAAAGTGCTTTCACTTGCAATAAACCACAGAACCAATTGCTTCTGATTTATTCATTCACTCATTCATCTTCCCTATAGAAGAAAAAAAGATGTTTTCTATAGTTTTGCAACTCACTGTCTCTAGAGAAAAAAGAAAATAACCCAAGCCTACCATTGCTTGTCCAGTATCTTTTTTCTTTTTTCATTTATATATTTGGTACAGGGTCTCACTACGCAGCTCAGACTTGTAGCGATCCTATTTTCAGCCTCCCTAGCCCTGGGATTACAGGCATGTGCCACCACTCTTGGACTCTGGTCAACGGCTCAACGCGCCCCAGGGGCGGGGCTGGCTAGCCATGGGGGACCAGGATTGAACCCTGGTCCCTGCACTTGCCTAAGCAGGTGCTCAGTCCACTGAACTATCTCACTGGCCCTCCGGCCAGCATCTTGGCACAGGAAATGCAGCTTAGTTAAGATGACAAGTAAAAAACTGAGTGTTGCTCATCAAATGTTTAATCAGGGTTTACAGTCAGAGATCACTGTAAAACCTGAAGCCTGGTGAATTTCAACGTATACCATGTTTTAAAAATAATGTTTACAACAATGTAAGACTTTACCTTATGGACTGATTTCTGAGAAGAGACTCTTGTTAGTCACCCAGTCTGGCCTCCAACTCCCAGACTCAAGCAACCATCCTGTTGGACTCCTGAGTGACGGGGCTACAAGGCACGCTCCCCTGCACCTGACCGGGGTGCTTAATTTCTTAATCTGAGTCGTGGACGCACTGGCGCTCATTTCACTCCCGCTCGGCCCCTTTGTAGGTGCCAGATATTTCATACTAAATATTGCTTATCTTGTTCCACGCTGCCCAGCGCTGAGAACAGGGAAAGAAAGCTGGACGTGCCAAAGCACAATCGCAATAAAGAGCAGAAAGCGTAAGCGCCCAATTTTGAAAGGATGTTGAAAGCTTCGAGCCTTTCCTGAATCGTTCCTGTCCATTAAAAGAGGGCTAAATTCTGGTAAAGGCCCCACATGTGCACAATCATTCTCTCACACCACACACCTGTTGGCTGGCCAGCGAGCCAAGTGAACGTCATTACGCACCACTATCAAGGACTGCATCACCCAACCAGCTCCTTGATTTTGCTCCCACACTCGTTCTGCCCATCACTGACTTCCACCTGGAGAGCAGGGTGGGGCTGTGGCTTTGCTGGGGAGCATGGAGTTCTCGGGAGGGGTTGTGAAAAGGGGCTGAGCCTTTCAGTCAGAAGAGCTCAGGGAGCTAAGTGCCCGTCTTCTTCCCCTGGGATACCATCCTCAACCAGCATTCGGTCTCCTTGCCAAGAACGAGCTGTTCCCGATCTTTGTACTGCCTCTTTAAAACCAACCTTATGGCCAGGCATGATGGCGCACACCTGTAATCCCAGCACTCTGGAGGCTGAGGCAGGAGCATCGCCGTGAGATGGAGGCCAGCCTCAGCTATACAGTGATACCCTGACTTAAAAAATAAAATAAATCAGAGCAACAGAGTTGACGATAAAAATAAATGATATAACAACCATTGTTAACCAGTTATTTTTGTTTTGTAATCTGTAACATGTTAGCCTGTTTGTCTTTGTTTCTGATTTTTTGTCCTTGCTTTTGTTTTTACATTTCAAAATAAAATAAGATTTTAAAAACAATAATAAATAAATAATAAAATAAAGCCAACACTATGTCCCCCTTCTCCCACAGAGAGGAGTGAGAGGAGAAAGATAGTTCCCAACCTCATCTGCATGAGCTCCCTGCTCCTGTCTCTCTTTTTTTTTTGGGGGGGGGGGCGGAACTGGGGATTGAACTCAGGCCCTTGTACTTGCCAGGCAAGCGCTTATTGTACTGAGCTATCTCCCCTGCTTTTTTTTCCCCCCTGTCTCAACCAGGTTTTATTTTCTAGCCTTCCCACGTGCTCTGCCAGCTCGGTCCTTACCTCCCAACACAAACTCTGAAAAGGTACTGAGTAAGCAAAGAAAACAATCAAAAAGAAGAGAGAAGGAAAATCCTACGACCCTAGGGAATCCACGTGCTGTCACAGCAGCCAGTGGGGAACAGAAATTCCTTCATGCCATTCTTTTTCTTTAAGAGTAGGGAGTTGGCGGTGTAAAGAACCAGTAAGATGATCTCTAAGTGCTCCAAAGAAGGAAGATGTTGAAGTTGGACACTTTCTCTTTTCATTCCTAAACACCGTTAGACCAACTGGTTTTACTTTCTTCTCACGGCATTCACACAGACCCCACACAGCCTCCTGGGAGAAGCTGCCCCTCCGCTAAAGCCCGCCCCACATGCAGTGTGCAGAAATTCCTGCTTTATTGGCTTTGCCTGGGAAGTCAGAACTCTTCCCTCTGTCCCACCGGTGGACAGATGGCTGGTCCCTGTTGCTACACAGGCATGGCACCTTCAAAATAGCCTTCTCCTTCGAAGAATGCCAATTAATCAAATGTCCTTGTGATGCATCCCAGCCAAGAGAAAGGAGCGACCCAGAAGACAAAGGGTCAGCAGAAAAACACAGGGACAGAGGTCATGCTCTCCTACCTTCACCTGACGACCCTGAGAGGTCGATGATCACATATACTTTGCCTTCCGGCTCCAGATCAATCTGCAATTAAGAACATGACAAGGGATTCTGTTAGTGCATTGAGTGGGTGACCTGAGAGTTCCCCAACATCTTCATCCCAGACTGTTAAAACCCAGAGTGACAGCTCCAAGCTGTGCCTCCGCCCACAATGCATCAAGCTACAGGTAAACCAGGACTGAGGAAGAATCTTCAGACAGAATGCCTGCTGTGTCCCTCACGCAGTACTCGAGGTCTGATGCTGAGGCAGAAAATAGCTCCGTCCCAGTGGTGCTCAACTGGGAATGGCTCTGCTCCTAAAGGGATTCCTGGATGCTCGCAACTGTTGTGACTGGCGGGACAGTGCTGTGAAGAGCGCCCAAAGGGTAAAGGCCAGCCAAGTGCTAAACGTCCTGCAGCGCACAGGACAGTTCTCCCAACAAGGATCCTCCAGCCAAACATGTCAGTAATGTACAGACTAAAAACAAAACCCAAGTCATCCCGCTGTGCTCCAAATTCCAGGTAGTTTGCAGTGCTGAGATTCAACGCGAAGACAAGACAAACTTCAATTCCTTTTCCTAGACACCCTGCTCTCGGGTGAAATATAAGACGTGCATGATACCATTCCTGCTCTCACAAGGAGTGTTTGCAACCTCATCAGGAAGGAAAAACAAAAAAACATAGAACAGTGCTGAACCCAGGTTAACACAGGGAGCAACTGGTGTATCCCAGGAACTGGAGGCACAGAAAAGCATTCTGGGAAGTCTTTCCCAGAAAGAGCAGGCAATTCATGTGGAAGTGACAAAAACAAAGGCTCACCAAGTGCGTGGTACTCATGCACGACTGGGGATGCCCATGTTCAGCTTGTATGTCAGCAGCACATGTCTGCAATCCCCAAATTCTACCCTGATTGTCCAGAGAGAGCACTGTCTCAACAAGGTTTTATTTTCTAGCCTTCCCACACATGCTGACAGCTCAGTCCTTACCTCCCAACATAAACTCTGAAAAGGTACTGAAAAAGAAGCAAAAAAAACCCAAAACAATCAAAAAGAAGAGAGAAGGAAAATCCAACTATCCTAGAAAATCCACATGCTGTCACAGCAGCGAGTGGGGAACAGAAATTCTTCATGCCATTAACTGAGTCAGTTAACTGGGTACCACCGACCTCCACCCAACTCAACCGGCTCCCAACCCAGCCGACTAGTTTTGCTGTACAGAGCCAGCCTAAGGAAATCGCACGGAGAAGAAAACACCCGAGGACTGGGCCTCTGGAAGAGAAGATGTCTCGGGTGGTTTGAATTATCCTCATAGAAACCACATCCTCTACAAGAGAGAGTAGCAACCCTGGAACCCCGGATCACCAAGGCCCCCTCTGAAGCTCTCCTGACTCCACAATCCATCTGTCCACACAGATCTCCTAAGTGCCAGGCTTTCTCCCGGCGAGCTGTACTTTGCTTGAGGGCAGGAACCACCACCCTCCTCCCTTGTTTTGTTCCATCATCCCCAGAAAAGAGCAGACAACCATTGAGCCAATAACACTCTGGACAGCCTGGTGGACACCTCCTGGCCTTCAAGGTTAAGGTCATTCACTTCTCTCTGAAGTCCTTCCAGTCACCCAGGCAGAATCCATTCTCCTCTCACCTGTGTTCTCACGGACACCAGGCCTGGCCTCATCATGGCTTGGACTGAACTGTAACCCTGCTAGACAGAAGGTGTGAGAGCCATATGTGCATCCTCAGCTCACTGTCTTCTGATTCGGAGATGCCCAGGACTCATCTGTGCAGCTAAGAAAAGGCTCCATGTTCGGGACCCCCCAGGGCCTACCATGGGCCCCTCACCTCTCCGCTCACATCTCCAGGGAGGAAGGCAGGCACACAATCTACACTCTGTGGCATCTGATGGAGGAGGAGAGGAGGTCAAGGTGGCTACACCACGAATGTCACACATGAGTGCCCCAAAGGCAAAGAAGCACAACTTGAATAGACACTGTCCAGCGCCTTTCCACCAGTACCTCACACCACATACAATCCATGTGTTCAAAGCCACACAGGAGTGCCACAGCACTGCCACATTTTGTCTGCAAAGCTTGAGAATGCTCATGGTTTTCCCTCAATTTTGTTTTCATCTGAAGAAGTCTCCCAGGCTTGGTGGGTAAGGCCACTGGTACGGGAAGCACAGGCGCACAATAAGATTGGCACTCCCCCCCAGGTCCCTCTACAGGAGCTGTCGCCCGAGTCTGGGGTCCAGATGGGAAGCAAATGACAAACTGGTGATTCCTCATGACAACTTCGCTCACTCCATTCTGTCCTGAGAGTCCATGATTTGAAATTTATGATTAAAGAAAATGTTCCCCAGAACCCACCACGAGCACTGGCCCCGCCCCAAGTATAACCAGCACCTGCCCTGAATTACAAACAGGAAAACCAAGCCTCGGCCCTATTGGAGAGCGCCAAGCCTGAATCCAGTCCCTGCCAAAGTTCAAAAATATCAGGGGCCTGCTTGCCCCAGAGCTCAGAATTTAAATAATGTATGCCTTTTAGAGATTAGATCATCCCTCCTAACCCCTCCGGCGAAATGAAACACTTTCTCATGTCCTCCAAGTCGAAGATTTCCCACGACTGTGGGCTTTGTGGGCCAAACACAATGCTATCTGTGAAAGGCAGGGCGGGAGGCAGCAAAGGAATGAGCTGGGAAGCGAGGCCTGGGGAGGGCAGGCAGCAAGCCTATCTCTGCAAAAGAGGAGAGAACTCGCGGCTGGCGGGGAGGACAGGTCACTGACAATAAAATGTATTAGGATATTAACATTCAAGATAGCAATCAGAAACCATTTGAGCACCCACGGCTGCTTCAATGCCAGTGCACAGCATTTTCCAACAGAAAAATAGAAATTAAGCCATTACACATGCCAAGAGCAACACAGGGCTCCGCAGCCCGAGCAGATGGCCACAGACGTTGGCCAAACCCCAGCCAGCCCAGCACAGAGGCTCTGAGAACCCACCCAGGGTACCAGGGCTGCCAAGCAGAAGAGGTGGTGGTGAGCAGCGCGAGTTCACAGCCAAACTCGTTTAGCACAAATTTACTCAGCCCACAGTTCAGCGGTGTAGGTGCTCTGGCCTCGCGAAAACACTGCGACTTGGCCCTGGGCATCAGGACCAGACAGCTGGCACTACCTAAAGGCTGGCCACCACTTCCTGGATATTCTCAGGGCTGGCTCTGCTGGGACCCTGCATTCCAGCTTCCTCCAGTTGTCCCCGACGCAGCTCTATTTACAAAACTTTTTCAGGCCTCATACCTTTCCATGACAGTCTTCACAGCAACCGTTTCATCTTCTTTGACTACAATCTCTTTCAAGTTACAGTGCCTTTGGCTGTCCCTCCAGTGAAGGCCAGAGCCCCGCTGCCAGCCAGTCGGGCAGACAAACACAGCCTCTAGGGTCAGACCAGGGCTGAATCCAGATTTTATCCCTTACCTGCTGAGAATTACTGACTGCACGCCGCAGCTTCTTCATCTGTGAAATGGGCTGCCAAGGAAACCCCGTCAGATGTAATGCAAAGTGCTTGGAGTCAGGGGAGGGGGGGTCTCATCAGGATGTCATGGTCAAGTGTGAGCTACCTGGCTAGGTGGCCTAAGCTAGCAGCTACCCTCTGTGCCTGTCAGTGATGTGGAGCTTGTATCAAGAGCTATGTCACCTGGGCTGCTGTGGCGTCCCCTGACACCATCTACATACAATACTTGGCACGTGCCTGGCACAAATAGTCATTGCTAGTACTCTTACCATTAGAAGGCCAAGTCGCTAAGCCTTTTTGCTCCTTAATCCAATGGTCTTTCTACTATAACAAGTCTCCTCTAACAAAAAATAAGCACGTTGCAAATTGCTAATTATTATTACAAGTCATTCTAGGACATCTGCCAAATTGATAGTGGTCTCATGAAGGTCAAATAAAGGACCAAGGTATGAGGCTTGTACCTGGCCTAGAACACACAGCAAGCAAGTCCTCACAGCTGGACACCAAAAGGTCCAAAGCTGCTCACAACGGAAGGGGAAGGGAGGGAGGCCTCAGACAGCGGGTGGGACTTTACCTGCCTTGGTTCACTTACCCTCCTATGGGGTTGGCAAAAGTCTCTACCTTCCAGATGAGAAAACCAAGGAACACAGAGCTTTGTAGCCAGCAGGCACCACAGACCTGCCCAGACACGTAGGAAGGGCACTCGGCTAGAGGTCACTGTCAGACCCAGCCCCCCCCCAACCCCCCACACACCTGGCCCACGGAGTCTTCTCACACAGCCTGTGCCAGGGCGTGTGGTCGCCTCCGGTGGGCTGGTCTCCTTGGCACAGCCACAGGCCTCCCCGGCCAGACCTCACTAGGACAGAGTGAGGCACAATACCGCTGCACCCCACAGGCATGATGAGCACTCCGCTGATTAACCAGGATTGAAGCAACGGAGAAAGAGCCTGAAGGAGACACTCCTCAGAAAGCCAATCTATGGGCGGCAACAAGGGCTCACACGGGACCACTTCTGGGTGCTGCCTTCCTATTTTCAAAGGCCTTCCATGTGTTATCTCATTCACTCCTCCAAACAACCTCGCAAGAGCTGAGTGTCTAACCTTTGCACTTGTCCGGGCCACACTGAGTGAATAGAAACTGTCTAGAGCCACATATGCTACATAGCAAGTAACAAAATTATTTTAACTTACTAAATCACGTTATAAAATAACACTATAAGCCCAAGCGCAATGATTAAATGAGAAAACATACACGTCTGCTTAAGGACAATAAACATCTGTCTTCCCAGGCACACACACGCGGGCAGGCTGAGATATATTACTGATCGCTGTGTCTTTCCCATCAGGTTGCATAAAGGCATGTAACCTCTGATACACACAGGTTTGGATCCAACTGGTGACACACAGCAGGCATAGGAAGTGACATCAGCACTGCCCTGAACCCCCCCCAACACACACACACCACAGTGTCCCATTGTCACCCATGCAGCTTACAATCCAGCATTGCACAAGTGAGTCATGGAAAATCTGCTAAAATTCA